GTGTTTACTATGACCTGCCTCAAAGATTATATACTCAAATTGCAAGACTGGAGAGCAGTTTACATTGATTATAAACGCAGCCATGCCCCCTGTCATGTTCATATCTTACAGTTGTGTAATCTGTACCTGACTGCATAGTTTGTCTTCCCAGGAAGCAATTTCTGGAGTATTATTATATTTTCATATGTTATTCTGTGGGAGTTGGAGCACAGTTGAACCAAAAAGCATGAACAGCTACATGAAGTCTATGCAACAGCAAGAACTCTCCTGTTCCAGCTGCCCCCAGCAGGATCTCTGCTGTGCAGTTGGAGCTCCCTCAGTACTGGATCTGTGCAGAAGATCACGCAACAGAAGCAGTTTAGAAAATGTACTTTAGTTTAACTTTGTGTTTTACAAAGTAATCCAATGAACTGCTAGATTACATCACTTAAAGTCACTGGTATATTGATCTTTGATCATATAATAAAACTCTCATTCATGCTGTGAACTGACAAACAGGCAGAAAACTAACTGCCTGCAGTTTTGTTTTCTGGTGTCTTTGAAAGATTTTTCCTGTTTCAGGTCAGTCTGTTTCCAATCCTGTTTGATAGGACAGAACTTCACAAGTGAACATGAATTGCTGATCTTAGCAACATCACCTTAACAGGCTCTTCTTGACATGAAGGATCAGCAGCCCTACTTTGAGATCTTAAGATAGAGTGGTCCACATCTCAACATGTTAATCTTTTTCATTTTAATACTTGAGGAGGCAAAACTATTTGTAGTGATACTTGACTAAACTAGTACCACCGAAGTTGCAAATGTGATTTAGTTTACTCTTTTTGTCTGAGAAAATGAAATTTGTGCTTTCTCGATCAGATTTGGTGGATTACTCCTACAGTATGGAAGCTCTTCAACGTCTCTCTCCTGTTATGTTTCTCTTCAGATTCGTGTAAAGCCAGACAACACTGGCGTTGTGACGGATGGCGTGAAGCACTCAATGAACCCCTTCTGTGAGATCGCTGTGGAGGAGGCGGTCAAACTGAAGGAGAAGAAGCTTGTTAAGGAGGTTGTGGCTGTCAGCTGTGGGCCACAGCAATCACAGGTGGGAGAGATGTGGTTAGATTTTACGCCCTTGAATTTGGTGGGGGTTTATTTACTTACATTTTGGTCAAATTTTTTGTTTTTGTTCAATAAATGTTCAATTTTACCAAGTTTAGGCCTTGTCTGGAAAAGAACTGCCATTATCGAATGTCAAATGGTGAAGATCCCCAACTTTTCACATTTCATCACATTACAACCCCACTACTTCTCTGTATTTCATTAGGATTTTAAACGATAGACCAACAGATAGATGCGCACATTTGGGAAATCAAAGGGAAATCATGCACGACTTTGAAAGTGTTTTAAAAATAAATAAAAAAAAGTAAAAATACCTTTTTATTAAGTTCCCTTAGTAAAAACTTTGTAGAACCACATTTTGCTGCCATGAGAGGCACATGTGTTTTAGAGTTAGTTTAGAAAATGACATTTCTCCCCTGTTCTGTTTTGGAAAATGTTTCTGGCTCAGTCAGATTAAATGAAGAGCTTCTAATAACAATTTTTTCTTGCCTCAGGTCCTCAGTCTGATTAAGATCTGAACTTTGACTCGGCCATTTTAACACATGAATATGCTTTAATGAACACGTTTTTTTCTGTCTTTTTTTTTGAAGCTCTGGCTTTATGTGTAGGATTGTATCATCTTTCCATCAACTCTTACCCGTTTCAGTTAATGTCTGAAAAAGACATTTCCACAGAATGATCCTGCCATCACCATGCTTCACAATTAACATGTCGTGTTTATTGCTTTTTGTCTTCCACACATAGAACTTTGTATGCAGGTAAAAAAGTTTAATTTCGTTTCATCTCACCAGAGGACAAAGCAGAGATTCTTATGGCTTTCTTTCAATAATGGCAGTGATTTTTGTCACTTTTCCATAAAAGGTGGGATTTTTGCACAGTTCTCACTAATACTAGTGCTGTAGTACATGTAGATGTACATTTTTTTTTTTAGCTTGCTGAATCTAATTGCTAAATCCCTGTGTTTTTGATCAAACGTGTTTAACAGGGGTTACTTGAAACTGGCAACATAATTAGACTTTTAAGCTTGGATAGTAATAACAAGCAAATGTTAAGTCATCTGGGAGAAATTAGCATAGGCATATTGAAAAGTAATTATGTCTCCTTGGTACAGGAAACCATTCGTACTGCTCTTGCCATGGGAGCTGACCGGGGCATTCATGTGGAAGTGAGCGGGAACGACTATGAAACCCTTGGACCTCTGCAGGTTTCTAAAATCATGGCTGCTTTGGCCAAGAAGGAGGACGCTCAAATCATCATCCTTGGAAAGCAGGTCAAAGTCGCAAATTGATGTCCTACATATATTTTTTTTAACCATGCATATATAAATGGTTGGTTTGTTACTTATGTTATCTTTGTTTCTTAGGCCATTGATGACGACTGTAATCAGACTGGTCAGATGACAGCCGCCTTACTGGACTGGCCTCAGGTAAGTGGCAAATGAAACACATTTTTAACAAATCCGTCTCTTATTTTTATTTGTGAGATTAAAATAAATCAAGTGTGTTGTGTCAGTGCTGAGAAGCAGGTTGGCTGCTTGTTCACAGAACCTTATCAGGTTGAGCAGAGACTGGCTCTGGTCAGTTAGTGCTACAGTGTTCCTGCTCAGATCAACACAGCTGGTCAAAGGCTGATTAGGTCCAACTTTCAGTTTGTTGTCCAATGATGATTTCTTTTTTCTTAAAGCACAACTTGCTACCAAACGACTTTTATTACCATGGTGCTTTGACAGTAAACAAATCTGATGATTGGACAAGATATTATTTACAGCTATGTAGAAATCTGTGTGTGGGAGTAAATGCTTATTTATTTTGTATCACTTTATAGTTTAAGAGGTGATAAGTAGGTTTGTAAAAGTAGCTTTGTAGTTCCACCTATGCACCAGCAGATGGTGTATAGTAACAACCAATTGGCTTCTTCAGTTTTCACAGCACCTTTGTGTTGAAAGGCAGGTGTTTCTGTTTTTTGATGGACTCATTTTTAGCATGGTTGTTCCAGTGAATACGTGCCGTCTTCTCCTTCTCCAGGGTACCTTCGCATCAGAGGTTACACTGGATGGAGACAAAATTAAGGTGGTCAGAGAAATCGATGGTGGGCTAGAAACAATAAAAATCAACACACCAGCAGTGTTGACTGCAGACCTTCGACTCAACACCCCCAGATATGCCACCCTGCCTAATATTATGGTAGGTAGCAGGAAGTTATGTTCACAAAGACAGAAAAAATGCAAACATTGTGTCAGCCATTTTGAGTAAAGTTAGATAATGTTGCTGAATGTTCTCAGTATTTCATTTTACAGATCAGTTAAAGTAAAATATGATTATACAAAATATTCTCTCTGGAGAACTTGCACCACACTTTTCAGATTTTTATTTGTGAAAACCCTGTGTCAAATTGAGTATATAAATAGTTTTTAGTTTAAATCTTTTAATGCTAAGCATCACTTGTTTCTTACCTGTATTATGCAACTCTCATTTCTTTCTTTCAGAAAGCGAAGAAGAAGAAGATTGCTAATGTGAAGCCTGCAGACTTGGGTGTGAACCTCACATCAAAACTGGAGGTGCTGAGGGTTGAGGACCCCCCACAGAGGCAAGCAGGCATGAAGGTGGAGACAGTGGAAGACCTGGTGGGAAAACTAAAGGAATTGGGAAAGGTATAAAGGCTTCAAGAGGACAGGAGCACACATCCCAACAGTGGTAAGTTTTAGTCAGTTTTTTCAAAGCAACAAGAATTTGGTGAAATATTAATTGCTCTTTCTGTCTTCCTTATTCTCATTGCAGGACTCTGATGATTTAGGACTGTACCACATGCACAGGAACCGAATGAGTTTCTGTATCTGTCTTGTCCTTCTTGTTTGCCACTGTTGTTCCTGAGCATGTGCAGTTGGTACTAACAGGAGAAAATGAATACTGAGACTCACTGTCCTTCAGTCATGCTATCCCGAAAATATATTTTTTATCTGCATTTTAGCAAAAATAAGAGGTAAAATTCTAAGGAAACAGACTTTATGCAATAAATTAAACTAGACTAAATGTAAGAACTGTAGGATGCATCTGAAAGCGACGCAACATTAGCTTTTCATCTTGTAATGTCGCCACACATGTTCAGAGGTGTAAATGGTATTTTGTAAATATGGACCCAAACATGTAGATGTCAATTTTTCAAGATCATTCTCACTGCTGTCACTAATCTGTACAATTAATGTATCTATAACTTGTTGTGGGACTGACTGGACAGTGTGTGTCAGCATATTCAGGCGGAGATAATAAATCTGAATTTTTACCGTAAGCGCCTCAATTCTCTGTTGATTGTACAGAATATCTCCATGACAATAAAGCAGCCAGTTTTTTCATAATCAATGTGGTGTTTTTGTGTTTTTTTTTTTTTTGCATTCATTTTTAGTTGAAAATCTAACAATGTTCAATCTTGTAACTTAATCCAATCACTATCTCAAATTTGATGTATTTTTTCCCTGTTTTTTTTTTTTTTTACCAATATTATATCTTTGACCATGAAGCACATCACGTTAAAAAAAAAAAGAATGCCAGAAAATGTTCAAAAGTTAAAAAGGATACATTTTTTATTATTTTTTAAAATTTGGATCTTAAACAGTGAGGTTCATTGAATTTGTACGTCAGATTTTGTTTTTGTGTTTACCACTAGAGGGCCTCGGCGAACCACTACAGCTGAGAAGAGAAACTCCTAGGAAGCTAACAGCTAATTTATAATATCCCATTCTGGTTAACTTTATAACGATTAAATACTCATGGCATCAGTCTTGAAGAAACATTCATAGAAGGCAAATTACAAAGAAACTGTAGCACAAACATACCCCTGTTATCCTGAAATAGAGAAAATAAGGCTCCCGTTCTTTTGCATTGAAGGGGCGTGGCCTCTTAACAATCAAGGCTTTGACTCTTCACAGGTGAACACCTCACGGGGCGCAGCTCGAGTTCTCAGGAACCCTCGCGCAAGTCAGTCTGAGGCCAAGGACGGTTTTTTTATTATTATTATTATTATTATTTTTCCCCCCCATGTTGGATTTTACAGAAACGTAATTAAGTTTTCTCTACTTTCTTGATGAGCTCCTAGATTCTTCTGTTTACCTGAGATGACGTGGTTGAAAGGGATTCAGAAACTGAGGCCAGTGCTTGTGTCTGTTTTCTTTATCCTAACATCTCAAGGTGAGCCTCGGTGTTTTTCAGTTTTTACAAGAGAAAATATTACTGTATACGTTGTTCTTTTTTTTATACTGAGGGTTTGTTGAGAAGCAATATTTTTAAAAAATTAAAATAAAAATAAAAAATAAAAAACCTTGCAGGACCATCTATTGAGTTTAGAGACTGAACAAATGTTTAATTTTTGAACTCATCTCTCCTCCTGGCAGGTGGTAACTGCCTGGTGGTGTCTCCTGTTGGTCCCACCCTGGTGAATGCTTTAGCTGGCACCAACGTGACTCTGGCTGTGTCCTACAGTGGTGCCTCTGATCCAGTGGTTACCTGGTTTAAGGGACCTCTGCCTGTGGGGACATGGACTATAAATGCCAATTTTCCTCCAGACATAGCCAATAACAGCTGGAGTGTGCTCGAAATTGAAAGGAATGGATCTCTTACCTTTATAGATGTGCCACTGCGCTTTACTGGAAGCTATACTGTTGAACTAACAAAGTCCGGGCAGGGAATAGCTTCAGCGACATTCACTCTGAATATTTATGGTGAGTTAAGGGAATGTGGGAGATGTTGTGCATTAAATATGCAGATGATCTGACTACATGTGTAATATTTAGTGGAACTTTTCACATTAGTCATATAAAGTCAACTATTCTGAAGTTAAGTGTGCAGAGCTTCAAAAGGTTTCATAGGACTTGCATCTGTGGGTGGTGGCTCTTAAGGTGCTGACTCCATCTACAGTTGTGCCTCTCCCTAAAATCAAATCTGTGACTCTTCTTTGTGCATGCTGCTTCTTTTTTTTTTCATCCTACTTTATTTTCCAGTAATATACCTGATATAACTCTCTGTGGAAAGCCACGGCCTTTTGAGCGTTATTCATTGATTGAGAATTTGAATTTTTGGTTTAATTAATAATCAAAATGGAAGGAGATGAATGCTTGAAATGTGTAATGAAGCTATCTCACATGAACAACGGTTTTGATGTACCTTATTGAGAGTCACCTGCAAATAGATAAGAGTTCTGATAATATGGATCCAGTTTGCAAAGTTGCTTTTATCCGTAACATTTTTGTTTACAGAAATTATCCAGAATGTGACTCTGATCACAGAGACTGACTTTGCCCAAGAGGGAGCTGAGCGGTTCACATTACAATATAGCATGCTTCAAGGTGTTGTTGAGCAAGAAATATGGCGCTTCAATGGAAGAGACCTGAAAAACAGCACGCGCTATTTGATAGAGGGAGCCAGCCTTGTAATTTTTGGACCTAACCGGACAGACAAGGGATCATACTCCGTGACATTGATGAACCCCTTCAGCAGCGTGACCACACATAAGAATGTGACTGTTCTATGTGAGATGAATCCTCTTCTGCTCTGAATGTTTCTTAAAAGCTGTGTGCGCATCCTTCTATGTTTTGTTTAAATTTGCTTTGTTGTAGACGGGCCGGATGAGCCCATTGTCGAGCCACCGCCAATTCAACCTTTCTACAAAGCAGGGGACTCTCTGATTTTCTCCTGCCAAGCTGAAGGATTCCCACTGTCAATTCCTCAGTGGATCTTTGGGGGTCAAATTCTTCCGGATTTTCACCAAGGAGTCCTAAATCTGACAAACGTGCAGACCAGTCAAGGAGGCTCTTATACATGCTCAGTGGTCAATGAGCTGACTAAGGAGAAACGCGAGAAGAATGTGACTTTAAAGGTTTACGGTATGCCAAAAACACTTCTAATTTTATGTTTAATTGGCTCTCTTAGCATTGGCTTGAAAGTATCTGAACATAGAGCATTTATATGAAGTGTGTACATGAAAATTTACCCCTGTTGTCTGATTAAGCCTTGTAATCATTTAGGTATTTTTTTCTGGTAACAGATGTGCCGCTGGGTAGTCCAACATGCTCTGTGGTGTCTGTGAACAACGCTGACCTGCAGTATCAGTGCAAGTGGGCAGGAGGAATGCCAGAAGCCCAGTTGTCTTTCCCAGCGCTAAGTAATACAAGCAGCGGAGCTGGAACCTTCAGCCTCACTGTTACTTCCTCGGCTAACCTCAATGACAAAACTATCACTTGCTTAGCAGAGCATCCAATTGAACAAAACACCTGCAACATTACCGCAAGTAATATTTTATTGTTATCCCTTCTATGTCTTATTGAATTTATATGAACACCTGTCTTTCAATCAAAACGGTGCTTTGGCCTCAAGAACAACCCTTACCAAGATTCCATTTGCTACACAGAAAGTCCCAGAAATTTTATTCCCACTGTGGAAACCTCTGTTGACTCGGATGGAAAAATTGCAGTAACCATCCGCTGTGTCAGTGAGGCGTCCCCTCCTGCTGTGGTTTCATGGTCCCAGGGAAATGAGTCTGTCGTCACTGGGTCGACGTACCAGATCAGCAGTGACGCCACACAGCTGAAGATTCGCAGTTACAACATCAGCACTTTCCTGCTTGCGCCAAACTACACCTGCACATGTCGCAATCCACTGGGCAGTCAGAGAAAGCTGTTTCAGCTGCAAGGTACAGCAGAATACATACTAACCCTCTGTCTATCCCCAAAGCAGTGGTGGCTAGACTACGGTCTGTGGTTTTTCTTAACGTGAAAAAGGAGGACAGCAGCTGATGCACATGGACATTTTATTTACTTTTTGTAGGATAAAGATTTTTTATTTATTTTTTTTACAAATTAAAACTTTTTTAATACAGAAAATGTTCATTGCTATGCAGTGTGTTGCTTAATAGCAGGACCTCTAAAATTAGACATGGATTCTACCATTTATTAAATTTGGCAAAACGTAGCAACTATTTTAAATGAAAGGACACTTAATCTGTTCTTGTTGCTTAACTTAGAAAAAAAGATTCTAGACCAAAGGTAGAAAATGGTTGACCCTTCAAAATAAGCCAAAGAATTTAAATGATGCTTTAGTAAAACAGTATATCAAACCTCTTTGGATCTACAATAACTTGCATATGACCTCAACATTTTTTTTTATTTTTTATGTAAAGCACTTTGAACAGCTTTGTTGCTGAAATGTTCCATGCAAATGAGTTCCACAAAAACCCTGAAATATGTTTATTGGACATCAAAAACTAATTTTACCATTTTTAAATGTAATTGTGATGTTTTGTGTTGCAATAATAACTGGTAGGTCTATAATCAGTTCAAAATGGCCTGTAAACTTTTCATAGCTATGAATCGGTCTGAGATTGTTTAAATTGCACTTTACATTTTGAGGTGAGCTGTTTGCTTTATGAGCTTTGGGCAATTTTAACATTTAAAGACACTTATATCAGAGAAAACGCAGGCGAGTAGGTGCAGCTAAAGAGACCGTATGTAACGGTAGCAGAAAAAGATCAAAATGGAAGCATTATATCCAACTTCCTAGAGTTGATATGAGGCAGTTTTTAAAATTCCCGCACAAGATGATTTTTATTTCATGACCTTACAAATGGCCAATGCTTATGTTGGCATGCAATGGTTTGAGGGATTCTGTTCCATGTGCCTTCTTGGACTTGATTTCTAGGACAAAAGCACACAATAGGCTCTTAGTTGGGAGCCAAGTAATGCCTGAGAGTGCTCTCTCCCTTTAAACAAAGCTCTTCAGTCTTTACATGCCATCAACTCCCCGTCTCTCTGCTTGTCCAAAATCTCTTCCCAGGACCGACTATCTCAGATTCCAGTTTGTTCCCTAATCAAGATGGAACCATCATCACATTGACCTGGGAGGTCCCACCTACATCCTTGGTTACAGGTAAAGCAGAAATGACTCATGGAAAGCAACTGACTAAGCTCTAAGCTGATTTATCGTCACAGAAAGATCTCTTTGGAAAATATGGCTTCCCACCGTTCCTGTTCTTTGTTTGTCTACCTAAGCAGAAGTGTTCTTGGAAAAATGCTGACTAAATGTTGAATATAGAAACTTCTCACAAAATATAGGGGTGTAAACACTGAGCGACATGTGAAGCTTTCAGCTGAGCAAGACTGTATTTTGGGGAAAACATTAAAGAACAGAACTTCAAAGAAAAGCATGTCAGTTTGTTTACATTGTTAAAATTATCAACTAATTTAGCCAATTTAAAAAGAGCAATGATTGAAATATGGAGTTGAACAAAATGTAACTTTTTTTCTTCTCTAAGGTTTTGACATCCAAATGAAAGGACCCGATCTTCTGAGCCACAGTGGTGGCTATTCTGTTCCTAAGAGAAGTTCAAAAGAATACCGCATCATTCAGCAGAAACCTGGGTATGCTAGGAGTACAGATGTCTTCTTGCTTGATCCTGATATGACATGCAGGTTTCGAATCATTCCCAAAGCTCGGCTAACAGATGGAGAGCCCTCTAAGGTTCACAGAATTGGCCCAGGTATGGCAATCTGTTTTGTCAAATAATTCAGATTTGTTTGTATCCGGACAACTTCTGACGGCTGCCTGACTTGCTGACTTTAGGTGATGGTTTGAGTGGGTCTGCCATTGCCGGCATTGCAGCTGGAATCCCATGCAGCATTCTTGCCCTCGTCCTACTAATTGGCATTATTTTCCTAATTTTCTACCACCACAAGAAAAAAAGTAAGTGAAGTTATGAAACATTCACATTTTTGTATCAATATTCTAGTGTTAAATTTTACTTCCAAATGCAATCTGGTTAAAAGGTTTGTACTTAAGTCACAAAAAGGGGATTTTCAGCCTCCCACTCCTCCAGTTGAACCACCTTATTTGTTTGTATATAGCAAACTGGGGTGATGAATAATTTTGTTCACATCAGGAACTGTCTCGCAATATAAGTTACAGAACAAAGTGCATTGATTCATTTTTAGAGTACAACTAAATATAAATGATCTTTGCATGCAATTCTCTGGGAGGATTAGAGTTTTTGATGTCTTAAATATGTTTGAAAGATATTAATATTTTTGTTTGTTTTTGTTTGTCCAGGCAACAAGACACGATATCCAGTCTCCAGAGCACTTGAGAAGGTTTGATTCATTTATTACATGCCTACATAAACCTGTGAATCAACAGATGAGAAAATATTCATGTATGCCAACACTTGGTGGGCTGTAAAATGGGCGGCACACCAAACTTATTTTTCTGAAAGTTTATCAATTTTCAGTATTCCAGATGCTTGTTAATTCAGGCTATAGGGCCTTTTAAACATTTGTTGTTCTTTTTATTTGCTGTAGTAAACATGGGCATCCCAAACTGACAATTGTTTAACAGTGTATGTAGACGGTACCAAGTAAAAGATTTTCCTCACTATCCATTCGCAATTCTTCCTATAAATATAGCCGAATTGGCAAAGGGGGAACTAACACTCCACTACCCTACAAATACAGAACACATACACTAAATCCTGAGAAATCATAACTTGAAATGGTGTTATTGATTTTAGTAATTTTAAACGACTGCCTAGTCGAAGCCTTGAATTCAATGAGGCTGCAGTTTTATTGAAATAGTTTAGCCACCCTAAGATAATTTTATCTAACTGTGTTGGAACTCCCATCTGTTCCCAGAGATAAATATGTCTCAGAAGTTTTCATCATCTCTGCTTTCTAGGTGAAAACCATCCAGCCTAAGGCAGTTTCACACAACATTTTGAACAGAGGGCTTAGGCCTCCTCCTGACTACAACAGTTTGCACCAGGTAGTTTTTCTAATACAAAGGAAGCACATATTGAAAATTGCTAATCCTATTCAAATTAACTTTTTTTTTTCTATTGTATTCTTTAATCCAGATGCCGTCTGAAAGATCTGGGACTCTACCCATGTTTGTCCCACCTGCCCCAGTCAGAGTTGCAACGACAGTTTAAACGAGTAAATCGATGTGTATATTTTTCCAAAACTGACCTTTTATATATAAAAATGCAAATCCAGGCTACTGTTTCTCTAAGTGCTTGAAATTGCATTTAAAGGTAAATCAGAAAATCGGATATTATTTTAGTAATTTGTAAGTTTTTGTGCTGAAGTTGAATAATCTGTTAATCTTTGCACAAAGTATATCAATCAGGAAATTCATCTTGCTTGCTGAAACATACATTGCTGCTGGTGTTCATACATTTGTGCAGCAGATGGTGCTGTGGAGTAATGAATGACATGAATTCATCTGAATGTCCAGCTAAACAGAACTGATGATACCTTCAATAAACATGAAGTGGTGATACTTGCCTTCATCAATGTGCTTTATATTCTTTTTTTCTTGTTGAAAGGTCTTAAAAATCTAAAACATACAATATCTATCGGGCATCGTTTTAGAAACCAATGACAATTAACTCTCAGTCAGTAAAACTGGTTAAATTACATGAACTAAATTCAGTTTTAGGTAAATAAGGCGAGTTAATCTCAATCCGACCAAATGTATAGCTTTTCTTTAATTTTCTAAACATTTTTCTGCATGTTTAAAAGTTAGCTCTTTTGAAAAAATAGACATATTACAAAGAGCAGCATTGGCAGGGGAGGAACAGCTATGCAGAACCAGACCTAAGAGAAGATGACATTTTCTTTAGACCGTTGTGTGAGAGAATAGGACAGAAACGTGTACAGAAAAGCAAAATATTTTATCATCTCCAGCAGTTTAGGAGATTTACTTAGTCTATCATGAGACACAAATTAGGTCGACTGCATCTTAAAATATAAATATAACTTGCTATTATATGAGACAAGTTGACTGACATGTTGCTCACTTCCTGTGGAAACTAATATTGGGTGGGTCTCACTGTCAGAGATGGCTAAGAGAAAAGTGACTACCCTCTTTTTCCCAGAAGAGAAAGTCATGTTTACGAATATGACTTTCTTTCTTTATTTTTTTCTAATCATTTATGATCAATACTAGAAGCTTTATACCCCCTCCTGTCATGCTTCTGGTGCAACATCCTTACCTGCTAAATATAAAACTGTGGTATCAGATCAGAGCTGAAATCCTGCACTGGGCCTTTGTTTTTTTCACTAAAACTGCCAGAAAAACTTCTACCTTTACTGTTTTTTGCTAAATGGTCACTGGGTTGTATTTTTACATACAACTCCTCATGACATTTCTGCTAAGATAGTAAAGATGGATGAATAGTCCATAATTATTCTGCCTTCTTACCATCAGTGCACAACATGTGCAACATCATTATAAAGTGTCAACATGTTTTAACACATTTTGCATGCAGTGTGTAATTTTATCAGCGAGTTGGTCATGCATCTGTTGTAAGCGTGCATGTGTCTCTGTGACCACACCCCAGCTACACTAAAAGAAACCGTGCACTTCAGCATATTCCATTGACCACAGCAGTACTGCAAGCATTTGCACATCCACAGTTCCAGAATGACTGATAGAACAACAGACGAGGACTGTAGAGCAGTGGCCTCGTATCCCAGAGCCTCCCCCGTATCCACACCATCACCCCTCCCTGCCCCTCGTTCCCTCACCCCTCTCCCCAAAAGACTCCCATGTAGTTCAATGTGAATGTGTCACGTGGATTGTGGCCCACCAGCTCAAGTGCATTTGTTCTGTGCTGATTGTTTTAAAGGATTTTGCCTCCATCAACAGAAAGTTGGGGTGATAACCTTTTGGAATTCAGCCTACAGCTTCCTCTTTGACGATTTGCTCACTCCTGGTTTGCACTCTCTCCCCGAGGAAGGGCTGATACTTAAGAGGGTTCATATATCCTGAGGAATTCAGGTAGGTTGATGTGGAGTGGTCTTCCTTTTTGCAATGGCTGACTCCACTCAAGCCAACAGGAGAATGGCTTACCTGTGGGCCCTAAAGGCCTTCAGAAGCTTTTAAGAGTTTAGCTGGAAGTCTTTGCATCTCCTCTGTCAGTTTTGTATAATGTGTTCTTGTATAAGGCAGCACATGCATAGATAATAAGTGTGTAATGAAAATATACATGTGTATCTAAATATTATGAAATGATGTCAACTCGGTGTGGGGCTTTGTGTGGTGTTAGAGATGAAACTCAGAAGTCAGCCTCATGTCTTTCCACTTCTGTCACATCTCAAGTAAAGACATGCATGTCCAGAATCGAGACTAAAGTCAGGACAACCAAGGCCAGAATTAAAGTCCAAGTTCTAAACTTTGCTTCTGTTCTGCCTTTGGTTTTGGTTTTACCCATGAATAAAACAACTGACTTGCAGAACTGGGACAAAGCTGTTTTGGAACTGACAAGTTTTTCAAGCCTTGAGTCAAATACCAAATAAAAGCATAAATTCCCAAGTTGAGTCCACAGTCAAGGCATGCAAATCCAGGGTTATGTCCCGAGTCCTACACTTATTTTTTTTATTCTTATACAAGTAAGTTAGCAAAATTTAAAATGTGAAGACAGTATAACAAAATTGACCAAAAATAGATTATTATGCTTTTTTTGCACAAAATTTTGCATTTGATTAACTTTCTTAAAATGTTATTTCTTTTTTGGTTTTTGATCAGCAAATGTTAACATTTGCCACATTTCATTGTGTTTTATTTTATTTTTCTTTGTCAATTCTGAATAACGCTAAATCTTTCACCTCAAGTTAAAGTATCATTTTATTCAAGTTTTAGGGCACAAATGGATAACTGCGAGGACATTTTTATTTTTTTTTACTATTTATAGGTTTAATAAGAATAAAAGAATAAAATTTCAAACAACTTACTTCATGTCTATAATATCACTTCCTGGCCCCCATAATTTATTTTTAACCAAGAACATTTACTTAGCTGGAAAGCTGACATATATTAAATATTATTCCCTTAAACTGTAAAAACAGAGCATTTTTCAACACATGAAATATTTTCATGTTTGCATGTTCACCAATAGAAGAGAAGTAATCGCATAATTACTTCTCTTCTACTGGCAAAGACTTCCCAAGAGTTCTGCACCAGAATTTCTCACAAAGTATGAAACGTAATGACCAGAATAAACTTGTTCTGAATATGCATGAGTTCTTTGAATCTTATATTTTGATCATGCTGTTCTGTGTTTAATAAAAAAAGGGAAATAACCCTCATGTGTTGGTTAATAGGGAACTCCAAAACTGATACAAGGTTTTGCTAGACGCAGTGGCAACATAGACTGCTACCTATCTTGTGTGCCACTTTGTCTTCTTTCTACTGGTTGCCCAAAATGCTGTCTTAGAGAAAATGTACATGTTTTAAAGGCTTTTGAATTTGACATTTGACAGCCAGATCAAAAATGATAGAGATACCACTCAAGAATTACAATATTTCTTGCACAACAATGGGTTTTAATGATTTAAAACAGGATGTCAAACCTAAAACACTTGGTTTCATATTGGGTGCATCATTTTAGCTTTCAGAAGACCCATTTCACTTCAAAAAGAACAATTGTGGTGTGTCAATTTTGTGAAATCCAGTGACTCATGATCTTGCCTCTCTCCTAGTTGCCATTGCAAACCAACTGATGACTAACAAAGTTAATAGTTTGTTTGTTTGCTCTTTTTGCAGTGCACAAAGATTTTGCCGGCACCTTAGTGTCACTCATGATGTACAGCTTCATGGGAGGGGGCCTGTTTTGTGCCATTGTGGGAAACATCTTGCTGGTGGTCTCGACAGCAACAGACTACTGGATGCAGTACCGCCTGTCGGGCAGCTTTGCCCATCAGGGCCTGTGGAGGTACTGCATGTCTGGCAAATGCTACATGCAGACTGACAGCATTGGTGAGTTGGACGTTCTAAGCACATTCCCTGAAATGCTTGCACCCAATGTCCTTTCTTTTAACGTGTGGTGCAATAATTTCCCAGCTGTCTTATAATAAGAATAAAATTCTTCATGTTGTAAGAAAAATGGAACCTCAGAAGTGCAATGAGCAAGGACAGCCACATCCTTATCCAGTATATGTGATCTCTGCTTTCCTGTTGACATGTTATTTAACAAGCAGCTTCGATGAGTCACGTCACTAAGCCGTGCTTCGTCTGAATGTTATCTGTTTTCCATCCTATGAACGCAGTTTCAGAAAGAACATTTTTTAGGTTAAAAATCCAAAACATCTGCATAATGAGCATTAGAATCTCTTTTTTTTTAAAATAATTGTTTATTAGTTTGCACATTATATTAAAACAAAAAAAATAGTAAAACTGCAAGAAATGTTCATTTAAACCACAACAGCTTTCATGACCCTGATTGTGAAAATGCATGTTCTCTTCTCAGAGATAAACATTTAAAAGGTCATGATTTTGAAAAAAAAAAAAAATTCCCAAGAGAGAAAGTCTAACTTTTCAAATCTTGAAAAGTTGACGGTTTGAAATACAAACTTGCTTTTGTTTACTAATTTGATACCAGGTTGACTAAAGTGGTCATAATTTTCAAGATGTTTTTCTGACACAAACCAGAAAATTCACAAAAATAATCATTCGGAACACTGTTCATCATCGCAGTCATTCATCAGTAATTAACTGAGCACACACTATTTCAAAACTAGGATCAATTGAAATGTAGATGTGTTTGAAATGAAATGATTTTTGTAAAGTTCCTTGAGATGACCTTTGTTGTGAATTTACTCTATGCATATAAACTGAGTTGAACTGAGCCAATTTTAGATTTAGCTACACTTAAAGATCTTACAAGAATAGGATTCATTAAAAAAGAATCACAGGGACTGGAAATAAAATTATTTATTTAAGCTGCATGTACTGCCTAGTCAAACTAATTAAAATCCTTTTTGAGCATAGCTTGCATGGACTCATTCTTAAGCCTGTCCTCTCCTGCTTAGCTTACTGGAATGCCACTCGAGCTTTCATGATCCTGTCCGCCATGACCTGCTTTGCTGGCATCATCGCAGGAATCCTCTCCTTTGCTCACTTCTCTGCTTTTGAGAGGTTCAACCGCTCATTTGCTGCAGGCATCATGTTCTTTGTTTCAAGTAAGTCATCGATGCAACAGCAAAAATGCAACCCCCATCCTTTTTTATGTTTGTTTGTTGCTACATTTATCGAAGGATTGCTTAGAATGGAAATCATAGAGAACATTGACATCTGTTTATCTAATAGTTGCCAGGTAACAGTCAAATGAAGAGACTGTTAATTTTAAGGATAGACGTCTTATGATGAATCTTTGTCTTCATAATAGCTCTCTTTGTCCTGCTTGCAATGGCCATTTACACGGGAGTGACGGTGAACTTCCTGGGCAAGCGTTTTGGTGACTGGCGTTTCTCTTGGTCCTACATACTTGGCTGGGTGGCTCTGCTCATGACCTTCTTTGCAGGTTGGTTAACGCTTTCAAGATGCAAATTTTTGTTGAAATGTTGTGTTTTACTGGTGATAAGCAGGCAATATTTCAAACTAAGCATGTAAATAACCTCCACACCATGTCCGTCAAGCAAGATGGGAATGGCGAGGAGTCAGAAATAACAAAATCCAATAATAATAATAATAATAAAAAAAAAAGTTAAACCAATCCAACCTAAAGCAAGAGAAAAGAAAACATTCACAACAGGACAAGAACTGTTGCCCCCTGCTATGCCCGGTGTTTTAGAGGGCTAAAGTGGAGACGGATATAGATTGAGAATACAGTGCCCGGATGTTTCCAACACACAACTGTTGCCCCCTTCTCTTTTGTTTTTTTTTTCCCTATGCAAGTGAACTCTTGTAAAAACGAAAGTAACAACTCAAACCAAGTGACATCAAACCCAGAATGCCCAGCGTCACTTACTAAGAACTATGAAGGTCTGCCACCGGACCTCTTCCGTCTCACCTGAATGTTAAATCAAAGGACATTTCTGCACATACTGTTTCACTCTTGTTGTGAATGTTTTCTTTTCTCTTATCTTGACATGCATGTTTGTTATGAAAAATGCCCAGTGTGGTTAATAATTCTGTCTTTACAACTCATGTTTGCTTTCCAGGTATATTCTACATGTGTGCCTACAGAATGCATGAGTGCAGAAGAGTGGCAGGCCCACGTTGAAACAAGCAGGAAATGACACTTCAAAGCAAAAAGCAAGAAAGGAAAACCCCACTGATGTCATTAGAAAACTTTTTGAGGACAAATAAAATCAGGATGTTTGCAGATATCAGAAATATGTTGTGTTTTGTCAGAAACAAGTCAACAACACCTTAAGGTGGAATACGCCATAAAACTGAGCATGCAAATGCAAACACCTAATCTGTTCTTTAGCCAACACTGGTAACATTTTGCTTTACACTTTATTAAATTGCTCTCTTATGTAAAGAACACAAAATTAAGAAAAAGGATCTTGAACTCCTACTTTTCAGCTGTCCAGTGGAATATTGAAGACATGCTAAGAAGCCCACTAGACTCTTCATTTCGGACTCTGACCCAATAAAAAACTCAATAAACAAAATCATAAAGTCGGGTTATAACTGCAACTAAGAAAATGTAACTAAGACTTTCAAGGTTGTCTCTACAGATACTGGGCCTAGGATGTCTGGAGGTTTCATTTGGATCAGACAACTTTAAAATTTTGATTGTCAATGTTCTGTCCTTATCTAAGACTTATACTAGAACTTCTGCGAGGTGGATGTGCTAGGCTTTTGCCATAAATATCTCTGTATTTATAAAAAAAACTTAATTCTGATTTTAATGAGTTGCTCTGCCTACTGTAATGAAATGAGTTCACATTTCATTTTCTGTGCCTGACAATCAATTAAATTAAAATGTGAGAGAACATATTTTATGTCTAAAAGCAGGGTCCAAATGTGAGTAGCTGGAGATGGTCAGTACATGTAAATGTGCTTATATATTATTAATTACATTTCAGAAGTATGACTTAGTGAAAGAAAAAACTGTTATTTTCAGATTTGATCTCACAAAGGTTTTGTTTGAAAGCAATATGACGTCAAGCTCCATAAGCAGTATCCAACATCTACATTGTATTTCTGTATGAATTACATTGTGCTGGTCCAATGATTTTACTAATGCAAAACAGGACAACATATATGTCTTTTTCTATGGAACATTCAAATTAGGTGACCTTTAGTTTAAAGCAAGTAACTGTCATCATTCATCACTTTGCCTCCAAAGCAGTATGAGAGCTTGCAGATTAATAATAAAATAAATCATCTTACAACCACCAATTACTCAGGAATAAGTTACCACAGTTATAAAAGAGTAAAGTACTTTCTTCATTCTCATAGGATATATAAAAACCCTCGCATGCAGATGGTCGTTGTTTAAAGGATTTATTTACAAAAAAAAAATAAATAAAAAAACAACACATTAATGTTAACAACAAACAAGCCACCTAGCATATATGAAAAAATACACATTTCCAATTTTGTCTTTGTATATATTTCCTGACATGTTAATCATTACAGTTAACTTTTATTGTTTTACAAGTACTATCTTCATGTGTACTCAGAAGAAGCCGCTGGTACATGATAGCAAACAGGAAACATGTCAAAGCTGAGGAAGCTATCATCGACTTCAAGCCTGCCAGCTTCCTGGTGACTAATAAAATGCCACTGCCAAATACATCATGTGGGAGGAAACGCACATTGATCATGAATTAGTGCCCTAAATTTGTCCCTCGTCTCCATTTACTACAGTGCTTTCTGAAAATTGATTTTTCGCTTGTGAAGTGAAAGATGGAGGAGGAAAAATAGAATATAATTGGATCAATACAGGTGTTCAACGTGCTGAGCAGCAAAGTGTAGTATCTCCACACTGGGCTTTGACCCTGGAAGTAACCCAACAAAAAAGAGAAGTTGAACGGTCCAACACAAATGAGGAACACAGCAAGAGTTCCTAAAGCCATGCCGATAGCCTTCCTCTTCTGCATCCAGGATATCCTGGGACGGCTGTACAGAATCAAAATTAAGCGCATGTAGCAGAAAGTAGTAATTAAAAGAGGCACAAGGCAGAACAGAAAGAAAAACTCCAAACGCAGTGGTAAAAGAACCTCCAGCTGCTTCTCTGTGAAGTTTTCATAGCACATAGAGGAGTCTGAGCTGGACAAGGAGGGGTGGTGTTGGATGATGAATGTGATGCTGCAGTGTCCCATTGAGGTCAGCCAAATAACAGCACTGATGATGATCGGGTACACAGGTTTCTTGAGGTGTTGGTAGATTACAGGAAATGCTGCTCCGACGTAGCGGACCACAGCGATTGCCATCAGCAGCAAGGAGCTGGTGTGGATTGTGGAGAAAAAGGTAAAGGAGGTGATGGAGCACATGAAGTTGGGCAGATTCCACTGCATCCCCGATGCTGCCTCGTGCATCTTGAGAGGAAGGATGATCAAGAAGAGCAGGTCGGACACAGTCAGATTCAGAAGCAGGATGTCTGTTGGAAGAGGACTGTGGTGGATTTTGATGCTGAAAGCATACAGAGCCACCAGATTGGCAGGAAGGCCAATCAGGAAGGAAATTATGTAAACTGTCAGAATAATCTGACTTTTCACCAATGAATTCATCTTAATCCTGAAGGTAGAAAAATAAAAACTGTCAAAATGTATATTGTAGAGACAGTATATAGAAAACATTATTCATAAATACCAACTTTGCTGCTGTAGTGTAATTTCCAAAAAATAAAACAAATGTATATTTTTTTGTAATTTAGTTGCCCTAAAATAAGGAAAATACTAATTAGATATATATACATTTCCCAGTTTTAATTAGAAATCTAATTTATATATTCTGTCATAACCTCGTTGTCAATATCGTTTTGTTTCTGTAACTGATAATAAATTAACTTTATGAGAGAAATGGCTCTTGTATGGCACCAATTTGCCCAAGTCTAAACTGAAAATATTGAACTATAGAAGCAAAAAAAAAAAAAAACACATTTATTGATTTTCAAGATAAAGATATGTACTTGCCTAATGCAGCAGTCAACGTCCAGCGTTTTTACTGTCTTTGAAAGTAGAAAAAGATGAGAAAATTAGGTGCCTGTTGACTTCAATGACGACTTGGTATGGAATGAACAGGAAACATCTCTTCACACTAAAGAGCTTTAGTGACTCATACCTCACTCCTTAACGCCTTCAGGTTGCTATTTATTTCAATTCAAAACTCTACTACCTGTTTAGAGTAGGGCATTTAAACCAAACTTTGGGTTGCTTTTTGTTTGTTGTTTGGACTTTTAGTAGGTACTTGGTCATTTATTGATGAGCTTTAGTCTGCTTTTGTCTTCAGATTTTAAGCTTACTGTTCTTTATTTTAGTATGTTTGTATGATTTATATCTCTACTCACTTTTGTGCTTACTTTGGTTTTACTTAGTTGATGTTTTCCTGTCCCCTCGTTTCCCCCTTGTGTTCATTCAGTCATTCTCTGTACCCAGCCTCCCTCGGTTGCTTCGATCCACTTTCCTCCAAGCTGCTTCTACTCAGTTTATAAGTCTCTCCTGTTTTCAATGATTATGTAGAAATCTGTCTTGATTTTCCTCTGATCCCTCTGGTGTGTGATGCTAGGTTTTGTTTCAGCGCCACAATTTCTGACTAGGAAGGTCCTACTTTGACCAACACGGATGTGGTTGTGATTTCCTTTGGCAATCACCCGTAAAGGAGTCTAGCCAGTCAGTTTATTTTTTTTTTCCTGTTGGTTTTTAAACTCTTCTGTTGTTACAAGTTTTTAGTTGCCACTACTTGAGACATGGAATACACAATGGTAAACAAAACAACAAAACCTAAAGCTCATAATTGCAGAAAGCATTTATTAAAGCTGTCTTATGGCTATATCTGCACTTAAATATGTAAGTTAAATAACGAGAACATAGAATTATCCTGATATTAAGGTTGCTTAACACATAAAAGAAATGTTTTTATGATATTACATATTACTGGAGGAATTTGTGCAGTTTGCTAAAATTCACGAGAATTTTAGCAAACTGTTATAAAATTCAACTTTATAACTTTAAATATTTCCACTGAGTCAGAAAAAGCCTCGCATGAGATCCGAAACTCTACTCACGTTTCAGATCTAAGACAAACAAACAGCAGTTGTGCCTTAACTCCAAATTACAGCTAACAATATAAATTTTAATCAGAATTTTCTGTGAGAAGAGAAACAAAGCTTTCTTACCCGAGGGCCTGTGAAATGCTAATAAATCACAAGTCTTTTGGTGCTGGCTTCAGCTAAGCTTTGTTCTATGTGCTCTCAGCTTAAAGATGACTTGATATAAAATGATGCAACCAGGCAATGCAATCGTCACACTGAAACATGACAGAGCCTTATTCTCCCTGTGCTGAGCAATGAGATTTCACCTCCCTTTTAATATTAACTATCATGCAAAATTTTATTTTCTTTAAACTTTGTATATTAAAAAGGACTTGCTTTCTTTTTGAGGGAACTTTTATTAAAGCTGTCTTATGGCTATATCTGCACTGAAATATGTAAGTTAAATAACGAGAACATAGAATTATCCTGATATTGTCCTTCTAGTCTTTCCGGCTGAATCTAGAATATTACATCAGTCCATTGTGTTTACATAAACTTCAGTGAGGGTTATGTAATCACCTTCAGCAGCCTCCATAACAGCTTTCTGCATAACGATGGCCAAATACAGTATGACAGTGAGTTTACTGCACAACTGTTTTAGTGTGTCCTAGTCATGTTTCTCTTTCTTCTACAAGGATTGGACAGCAACAATCGTTTCCTCTTTGAAGGTTGCTTAACACATAAAATAATTGTTTTTATGATATTACATATTACTGGAGGAATTTGTGCAGTTTGCTAAAATTCACGAGACAGTGTAAAATGGTGTGCCATTTTCATTCAGAAAAACGTCCCACATTTGCAGCTGTTTTGAGTTGGTATTTATAACTTTATTTTAACTTTAAACTTTATCAATAACTTTATCAATACATTTTTAAAGCTCTTTGGATATTGAAACTAATTACACAATGATCTAGCTTCAAACCCAACCACATATTAAAATACATATTTTAATTACAGTTTATTTGTTTAACCCTTTTCCAAACATGTTACATTGTTCTTGATCTCTGTACAAATGAAGACAAATTAACTTCTTTTTACTTTTCATACTTTTACTTACAGATTAATTCTAAACATACATCTACTGAATGCACTGGTGCTGAGTATCTCACCTACTCTAAAGGATTAATTTATGTCAACCATGATAAATTAATCTACCACATTAAAGCTGACAGCTTCCTGGTGACTAATAATATTGTGAAGCCTACACAGTACGTCTTTTAGTTTTCTTCTTAAAGGGTTAACCAAGGTTTTGGGTTAATATACATCTAATAAGAAACAGCACTAGATCATTTCAACACAACTGAGTTGAAAACAACTGAATAAAGAAACCGTGGAGTGCAACTTTAAAAGCAAATAGCAGGATTAAAATTCAGATTCAGCTTGAACATGTGCCCCCTGCTTCCATATTTACATCAATAGCACGACGCTTTCTGAAAATAGATTTTTTGCTGGTGCAGTGGAAGATTGAGGAGGAAAAATAAAATATGATGGGATCGATGCAGGTGTTTAATGTGCAGAGCAGCAAAGTGTAGTACCTCCATTCAGGGCTCTTTCCCTGGAAGAAACCCAATAAATGAGAGAAATTGTATGGCAGAACACAAATGAGGAACACAGCAAGAGTCCCCAAGGCCATGCCGATAGCCTTCCTCTTTTGCATCCAGGATATCCTGGGACGGCTGTACAGAATCAAAATTAAGCGCACGTAGCAGAAAATGGAAATTATAAGAGGTATAAGGCAGACCACGAAGAAAAACTCCAAACGCACTGGGAGGAGAACCTCCAGCTGCTTCTGTGTAAAATTCTCATAGCAGATAGAAGAGTTTTTGCTGGAGAGAGATGGATGGTGCTGGATGATGAAAGTGATGCTGCAGTGTCCCATTGAGATCAACCAAATAACAGCACTGATGACGATCGGATACACAGGTTTTTGCAATAGCTTATAGGTAATAGGAAAGGCCACTCCTACGTAGCGGACCACGGCGACGGCCATCAGCAGCAAGGAGCTGGTGTATATTGTGGAGAAAAAGGTAAAGGAGGTGATGGAGCACATGAAGTTGGGCAGATTCCACTGCATCCCCGATGCTGCCTCGTGCATCTTGAGAGGAAG